ACACACACACACACACACACACACACACACACACACACACACACACACACACACACACACACGGCAGCTGCAGTGATTGGACCACTTAGATTTACAGTCCATTACAGAGAGGAACCCACTGAGTTTATACAGACACTATCAGGCTTTGTGGCATTTTATCTCGCTATAACTGCTTTATAAACCTGTAGCAATCTAATTAGGTTAATTTGAACTTTGCTGTGTGCACACTGCCTCCTTTACTATAGCGAGTCCAGAGACTGAACAGTGTTGGTTCTAAAGAGGCTCTATGGAAAACAACCTGCCTCATTCAAAGAAAATAAATAAAGCTAAGCCAATTTTTCTTTATAGTGTATTTTTCCTTGCTTTGAAAATATTAACAAGACAGTATTCACGTGGAATAAGATGATTTAATTTAAAAACAAAAAATAAGAATTCCATTACCTTATTTTAAGTACAAACTAACTATTTTAATTCATGGTCAGAAATACTGACTCATTTACCTGCTGAAATTAAGGGAAAACACATTCAAAGATATATAGCTTACTGTTACCTTTTCTAACATACAAAGTATTCATAGATCAGTGCTTCTATGATCCTCTAGTTTGTCTGCTTCTCTCTTCTTAAATCCCAATCGGCAGAAGGCCTCTCACACTGGGCCTGGTTCTGGTTCTGCTGGAGGTTTCGTTCTGCTAAAAGAGAGTTTTTTTTCTCCACTGTTGCTGCATGCTTGCACAATGTGAGGGATTGCTGAAGAGTCCATATCTACTGTCTCCACCTACTCATCCAGGAGGAGAAAATCCTTTAAAGTCAATAACTGCATGCAATCAGCTGGTTTTCCTTCGGTAGAAATTTTGAACCGTTAATCTGACCTGAGGACCTGATTGAACTGATCGCAATGTAAAGCATGCTCTACTTTGGACGCTTAAACACCTTTCTTTGGGTTCATGGTCAGCTAATCTTTGTTTCCTAACTGTTCTGTTTAAACTCCTTCCACTTTAAGTTCCAGTATAGAAATATATCAGAACTAGTTATACAAAAGGAAAATGATAGTAAACCTTTACAATAATTAAGACCTCAACCCCTCAGCACTAGAGCCTTCCAAGGGTGTATTCTCTATTCAGTCTTCTTCTCCTTTTACACAAAGGACTGCACCTCAGATGACCTGTCTGTGAAACCCTCAGACTTTGCCGATCACTGGTGTGATACAGGACAACAACAAATCTGCATACAGACAGAAGATGGACCTGCTAATCCACCTGGAGCAAAATAAAATAACTTAAGGATCCAGTATTCAAGGCGTATAAACAGTTAGATTTCTCAGAATGTTTATTAAAAACAGAATCGTTGTAAGCAGTGTTGATATCCAAGGCAGGACATCTGCGGGTGGAGACAGCAGGTTAGTGACGACGCCTTTCTGGAAGTGAATGATCACGAGCATACGAGTCACTAACCTGGTCTTAAAATTTGGTGCGAATCCAGAGATAGAGGATGTTTCCAGTCGTCTGGTTGCCAAAGTGACACGGCGGTCGCCGCACAGAGAGTCCCAGACTCGGATGTATGGGTGGAGGACAGGCAGGAGATCAGAACCGAGTAGATGATCCAGAGGGCGAAGCCAAAGTCAATGTCGGTGATGTGGTCTGTTGTCAGAGCCAGGAGGTCAAAGATCTGTTAAGGTGCTGAAGATGAATCCAGGACGGAGTCGGGTCACAGTTTCAGTTACAGATCACAGTGCAGAGTGGCTGACAGGCTGAGCAAGGGCAGGCAAGCTCAGTGGTCAAGAAAAGGTTTCGGTCAGTAGTACTGACTCAGTTCACAAGCAGGCAGAGATCAGATAGGAGTCAAAAGACAGGTCAGGCAAACAGATCAGACGGGAACAGGCAGGCTCAGAGGTCAAGAGGCAGATCAGGTAGTCAGAACCCAAGAATGCTAGAATAATTCTCACCAAAGGCTAGAAATATTCTGGCACTGATGACTGGTTTGAAGGCTAGTTAAATAGAGACTGATGTAGGAGGATCATATAAGCGGGTAATAAGAACTGTGCGGGGGGGTGGAGTGAAATTAGTAAATAAGACCAGGGACCAGTGCTGAGATCATGACACTAGTCTATGTGATGGATTAGTTTCATCTGGATTTATGGACAAATATAGCTGATTATCTTCAGCATAACACTGGAAATAAATCCCATGCTGTCTAGTAATTGGGGGCATATACAGTATATTTTAAAGAGAATTGCCGCTAGCACTGATCCCTGTGGTGCTCCCCAGATTTTCATTCTCCTTAAACATCAAAAACAAAAAATCCAAAACCATTTATTTTATTTTTAGAGCAAATTTAAAAACAATACATTGTTCACCAACAACACAAATAATAAGATTTAGAATCATACAGATTTTTTATTTTTATTTAGATTTTGACCAATTTATTAAACCCCTCCAGGGGGCAATTAGTTTGAGCAGCACAGGAGACTCACACAGAGTGCCGCCCGAATTTTCTGATTCTGAACCACTGAGAAGAGACAACAGTTAGGTGTCATCTGAAAACTTTACTAAATGTGCTCAAGAGTCTGTTTGTATTAATTGGTATACAAGATATAAAGTAGAGGAGATAAAACACAACCCTGATGTGACCCTGTTGATACAGAGAAACAATCCGACAGGCAATTATTAACATAAACTCTCTCTCTTTTCCCTTGTAGAAAAAAAAAAATCTAAAATCCATAAGACAAGCCAGTGAGGCTAGCCGGTCAGTTTAATTAAATCTGAGAGACAGTGCAGACCAAGGCTATTTAAGCATTTAAAAAGAATAAGTTCTGTAGCTTATAGGGAACAGTGTAAAACAGCCAGGGCAGGAGTCATGTGTTCACACTTGTGTTAAAATACAGGCTGTTGTATTTTAGATTAGCTGAAGGTGGCTGAGAGTACAGAATATTATAATAGTCAATAATCAAGGGGACGAAAACAAAAGCATACATGGTACAAATATATCACGGCACAGGTACAACAGGAGAATGAGAGAGGATCCAGCTGGGCTAAAACAAAAAGAAGCAATCAATGGAGAGGGACAAATACTAGCCTTAGTAGAATATGTGTAGGTAACAGAACACAGCACTAAAGTAAAAAACTTTAAAAAAGAACTATGTTGGTAATAATAGCATTAACAGCAGCATAAAACTGATGCAAACGCAAAACCTGGGTGGTGTCAAAACATCCGCCCTAATCCCTAGATTCCCATTTTAGATGAGTGTCCGAACGTCTAGTGGATGAAAAAGTAGTGGACTCAAAATTTCCCACAATGCATCATGAATAGTAGTGATCGTCCGTGGTCACTTGATGAGCATATATATCCCAGAATGCACTGCGATAGTGCAGATGATGTTTTTTTTCTACAGAGACTTGGGCAAACCTGACATTTTTCTTAGAAAAGTGTAACGACAACCCACTCAGTCATACTGGAGTATTCTTCTAAAAGGGAGCTGCTAGAAACGACTGAAGGAGGTTGCTGCAGCTGCTTCAGCGACTTGGCTTAGACCTAAATTAAATTTAGTTGCAAAAGAGTGTCATCCACTCTGTTATTCAGTATATTGCTGGCACAAGGCAAACATTTGCATCTCTAAAGCATCCGACATGAAACAAATTTGATTTAAGGTCACATATGCAATGCATGGGTTGAGATTATGGGGGAAAAGGAAACAAATCTTTTACATTTCTCATTTACTATGTTGATATAGTAACACAATCTGGTGGAAAATGCCAAGATGCTCGCCTCAGTAAATGCTTTAACTGGATCGTAAGTGATGTTATGGGTGTACTTCAGGTTTATTATTTACATAAAGTACATGTTGCTCATAAATATTCTGATGGATGCTCGTGTAGTTTCGTCTCTTCAGACGGCAGTGAAACTGGAATCTATTAAAGGTCGATCTTCATTGTTGAGCCATCAAGCTGC